TAGTTAAGGGGGGGAACATTTCACTACCAGGCATGTGACTATCACAATAACATTGCTACATCACTTTATTCTGTCACTAGAAACCTGATCTTCAACAGTTATTCAACCATTCTATGTCTGAATCTTCTAATCTATAAGATGGGGAACCTAGATTTAATATCCGTAAGGTCCTTTCTAACTTCAAATTCTATTTTAATTATTCCTTTAAGAAAGTAAAATCCTAGGGCACCTGGGTGGCTCAGTCAGTTAAGCGTCTGACTCTTGATTTCAGCTCAGGTCATGATCTCATGAGTTTGTGAGTTCAAGACCTGTGTCTGACTCCATGCTGATAGTGTGGAGCCTGCTTGGGATTCTCTCTCTCTGCTTCTCTCTCTCTCTCTCTCCTTCTCAAAAATAAACTTTAAAAGAAAGCAAAATCCTGACTTAAAAGAAGTATCAATAAACAACCTTTTCTTCCCCTATATCCACCATTAGTTACACCACTTGTTCCTTATTTCTTTATGGTTTCTATCATTCCCTTCAACTTTTATAGCAAATATACATGTGCCATAGGAACAAGGAACTTCATTCATAAAAACATAAACACAGCTCCTTGCAGTGGCAGTAGCTAGTAAAGATTAGGGGAGATTCTGAAACTAGGACCAGTAAGTTTTCCTTAAATTGGGCTGTTTTCTGTTCCTACCTTCATAGTAACAATAACTGGTTTCAGTAACTGAGTATATCAAATAAGCCAAGAGGACTAGTTTCAACATGTTCTTGATAGGACCAAAAAAGAAGAAAATAAATATATGGGGGTGGGAGTGAGGGGCTTATAGTTGCTACCTGTTCAGCTAGAATTTTAGTCATCAAATTCAAAAAGATGGAGTTTAAAGTTTAATTCTGCCACATACTGTTGGAGGAGGCAATCCACCATGAGACTAGAGCATCTTGCTGGGTATGCCAAGAATACAAGAGCCTGACTGCTCTCTTTAAGAATGATTTCTTGGGGTGCCTGGGTGGCTCAGTCAGTTAAGCATCCGACTTCAGCTCAGGTCATGATTTCTCAGTCCGTGAGGTCGAGCCCCACATCGGGCTCTGGGCTGATGGCTCAGAGCCTGGAGCCTGCTTCCGATTCTGTGTCTCCCTCTCTCTCTGCCCCTCCCCCATTTGTGCTCTGTCTCTCTCCGTCTCAAAAATAAATAAACGTTAAAAAAAAAAAAGAAAAAAAAAGAATCATTTCTCAAAGTTGCATTTTACTGCAAGCAACCTTTAGGGATAATATCTTCCACCGGACAAAGAGGTAGCTTGCTCCTGCTTACTATCAAATCAATGAATCCCCAAGTTTGTGTTTCTCAATGCCCTATGGCTTGCAAGACATCCATGTAACAGGCCTACCTGCATTGCCTCCATGAACTGAGGAAGCGGGAGAATTGGGAAGCAGTTCAAATCATCATGAAGCTTACAATGCTCTGTCCTAACTCAGGAATCTGTGGCTTCTGCCACTATACATGACACAGTAACAGACTAGTTTGTTAACTTATAAATAGGGTAGAATCTCAGACTTTCACAGGTCTTACATACTAACTAGGACCTTTGGCAAGTCACTCTCTTAGCCTCAGTTTCCTTACCTAAAAAATGGTACCATTATGACTGTAATATCCACCTCAAAGAATGTTGAACAAATGAGATAATATGTGGCAAAGTCTATGTACAGATAAAGTGTTGTTCTTATTGTTGCTACAGCACCACTTGAAAATTCTCCAGGTCAGTCCCTTTGTAAGGCACCTTTATCATTTTAAATCCATTTGAGCCTTCCAACGTGGTATGCACGATTTTCTCTTAGGCTTCCCAAACTATTGCCATATTTTTCAAAACACCCTGTGGATGCCTTGAGTCTTTAGAACAATTAAATGTAAAACTATTAGGTAAGGAATAGAGGTATAATGCATCAGTGAACACGACCTGGATATATATGTGTACATATACATACAAATATACAAATATCTATTGCTATTCAAAGACAATCAAGCTAAATAATGTTATACCTCCATTTGCAATGAAAAGTCATAACCCTAAAGTTAACATTTTCATAGCAATAAATAACCAAGCCTCATTATCCTGCTATTCATATTAACATGTCATACAGAAGTCAAAATGGGAATTTTTATCCTTTCAATATTACCATCATTTTTACTATCTCCATATAGCCAATAAAGAAACTTCAATCCGAATGGAAGAGAACCAAGTTCCTGAGTAACAGGCTTTTTTAAAAAGGGGAAATAAATTGGGGCGTCTAGGTGGCTTGGTCAGTTAAGCCTTTGACTTTGGCTCAGGTCATGATCTCATGGTTGTGTTGACATAGCTCAGAGCCTGGAGCCTACTTCAGATTCTGTGTCTCCCTCTCTTTCTGCCTCTTCCCCACTCATATTCTCTCTCTCTCTCTCTCTCTCTCCCTCTCTCTCTCTCTCAAAAATAAATAAACATTAAAAAAAATTTGAAGCCTGATCTTAATATTTTTTAAAAAGGGGAAATAAATTATTATAATACATTTTCGTCTTGTTCTGAATTAAATTTGATTAAATGCTAGTGACTACAATGTTGACAAATAACTAATCAATGATTTATAGTTACTGAAGGGTGCTGATTTACATAAATAAATGTATGCCATTATAATTTATACTCCCTAGGACTTGTGCAATCACCATTTTTTTTTTTCTAACATCACTCATTAACCTTAAGTCCAAACATGCTGGCAATCAAACCTATATTTTTTTAAATTTATTTTTAAGTTTGTTTATTTTGAGAGAGAGAGTGCAAAAGTGTGAGTGGGGGAGGAGCAGGGAGAGAGGAAGAAAGAGTGATGCTCCACACCATCAGCACAGAGTGCAGGGCTCGAATTCATGAAACGTGAGATCATGACCTGAGCCGAAACCAAGTGTCAGACACTTCACTGACTGAGCCACCCATATACCTCAAACCTCTATTTTTTTTTTTAATTTTTTTTCAACGTTTTTTATTTATTTTTGGGACAGAGAGAGACAGAGCATGAACGGGGGAGGGGCAGAGAGAGAGGGATACACAGAATCGGAAACAGGCTCCAGGCTCCGAGCCATCAGCCCAGAGCCCGATGCGGGGCTCGAACTCACGGACCGCGAGATCGTGACCTGGCTGAAGTCGGACGCTTAACCGACTGCGCCACCCAGGCGCCCCCCCAAACCTCTATTTTTAAACACAAGTAGTTTTGCAGTACCTTCCAGACTTTCTCTTATCCCTTACCTCTTCTATACCTCTGTCTCTGTTTTATTAAAGGCATCACAACAAATAAGCCTTTCTTTTCCTAACTGGTCAAGGTATTTTTATTTTTCCCTATAAACAGAAGGGAAATAACACACAAATGTCTTCCTTTCTGCATTTGGCCATTGTTAACCTCTTATTCTGTCAGAATACACTGATGTCCTTAATCTACAGTTTCAAAAATGTGACAAATTTTTCCATTACCTAAATGTCTTTGTAAACTATCTCTTCTTTTTTTCGCTTGAGTTATTCTGATCTCATCCCCACTTGATAGTGGTAGTTCTCCAGTTTACTCAATAATCTGACCTGATTCCCACTTTGTGTAGCTCTTTTACTCACAGCTATCTGTAAGTAGCACACTTGGCACCTTGTTAACACCTTTGTTCTTCTTACATGACACCAATAAATCTGTCTACTGTTCAGATCCTTTGCCTTTTTCTCATTTGTCAGTGTTTTGGATGATCGTTATATTGGATGTTACTTACCAGTGTCCAATTTGATATTTTACTGTTAACTATAACTTACTAATTTCCTCCCTTCCATTTCTTAAAAATCAGGACAGCTATCCTATTGCCACCACAACAGAGCCACTGGAGTTTCTGGTCCCTTTTTTGATCTTCTCCTAGTTCCATTCCAGTTAGTATGCACACATTAACAAAGAGTCTACTCTAACCCTCTACCTTTTGTTCTAGAAGAGAGTTTCTGACAAATCATAGGAACTTGTAGACCATCTGTGGCCTTGCTGAATTGTTTTCTTAAGAGATCAGGCAATGGCATAAATAATAAGTAACAGAGGTCCAAAAAAAGAAGTTCCCCTTCCTGAAATGGATCTTAAATTACAGTGATAATTGGTGGGAAGAAAGGTATTTCTCCAAGACATTCAAGAAAGAAACACACCTCGGTAATTCCATTAAAGAGATTAATTCTGTAAAATGCTTAAGAACAATAAAGCACAGCAGTATGTACCTGGGACCAGGAAGTATACTCTTAAGTGAATGGAAGAAATGGAGAGAAGTTCATTTCTTTTTAATCCATTAATGATGAATCACTTTTAAAAATTACTCAGAAATCCTATCCTAATCTGTATAATTAGCTATGTATCCTATGGCCTCATCTCTGTGTGGTCCACCTGACTCGTTTATTCTCACTCAGAAACACCAAAAGATATGCATTAATGTTTGGGGCTGCAATTCCTAGACTAACCTACTCAGTCTCTGGCTTGCAATGCCACTTAGAAAAACAAAGATTTATTTCCCTCAAGTACAGTTCCCCACTGGCTAATTAGAGAAAGAAAGTGGGGGGGGGGGGGCGGCGGGGAAGAATGACGGAACACTGACTTCTCTTACTTCCACTCCCATGTCTCATACCTTTTCATCCCTATGATTCAACTAAGGATACAGCACACTGAACAATATTTTCTCATAAGTGAGGAAACTAGTACTTCATAAGGGGAAGCCTCAAATGCTACTTTCTCTGTTAAGTACCAGTCAGATGTTCAGAGAACTACAGTGAAATAGTGCACATGGCTGACAAAATAAAGAAGAAAGTAGCCAAATTCTGGATTTAGAGAAAAGTCTAATCCTCTACATCACTGTAATTAATACTTTTAGAAAATCTGGGCTTTCTTCTTTAGCCTCTATCCCCAAAATTGAAGACCTTCTACTCCAACAAACTGAGGGAGTAAGGAAAAGGGACACTTTAAGTGATGACATGACCCACCGACCTACTGTTCAAAGTGCTCATCAAATTTCTGTTGTTGCTGGTGGCTGTCCATGGTAGCATGTCTATAACCCAAGAACATCAGAAAACTTCTTTGAGTCAACAAATCCCCAATAAATGTCAAACAGTGTGTAAAGCAAGGACTTTAAAAACAAGAACAAAAACCTGAGAAAGGTAGCTATCAGAGAGGGGAAAAAAAACAAAGAGCTGGAAGAAAATTAAGGATGTGCTCAATGGAATATTGTATACAAAGGAGAAATGGAATAAAGATTAGTCAGAAAAGAATACGATAGTTACAGGAAAAGCTTCAGCAGAAATTATATTTGACCTAGATTTTAAGAGGAGATTAGAATTTTCCAGGCTGAGAAGAAAGAAAGGTCAGTTCAGGCAAAGCAAAGACAAAGATACAGGAAGTGCTTTTGTTCCCAGTCATAACATAGATCTTTGCAGAGAAGCACCAGGATAATAAAAGTGGCTAGAATTTAGGAATGTTTTATAAATGTTATGACACCACCTAAGTAAGCATCCAAACTAAAACATTATCTTCTAAAAGGAACACCCTCTGCAAGATGAAAGATGCCACCAAAAGGCACACAAAAGCCACATTGGATCTCTGCCAAATGTCTTTTAGTCTTCTTCTCCAGATCAACTCTTCATCCATCTTCACCATACTCTGTGCCCTAGGAGACTAAACTTCATGAGCTATAACAACGGACTCTCTTCTCTTAGTCTTCCAGTGAAATTTAGCAGTGGGAGGTGCCAATAGGACATTGTACAGCATGAATGAGGTCAAGGTATTCATTCACCTGGTTCCTTCCTACCAGATCCTGTTGGTGGGCCATGTTCCTTTACCAAAGGCCACAACTCCTATCAGGACATCTACAACAGTAGGTGTTGCTCACAACAGAGTACTGCCTTATCCTTTAGAGTTTCCTTAGTGCAATCTATCCTCTACCACACTTCCCCCAATCATTTTGTCTGAATGTGTCATCTGTCTCCCACCAAGATCCTGACCAAATCAGTTAGTACATGAAAATAGACTATTTACTTTTAATATTTTTAAATTAATAAGTTAATAAGTTAATTAAACTTCCAAGAGATTGTAACACAATGCCAGCCTAGCACCAAACTTTGGAAGCAATGATGAGCAGTGATATTTATACTTTATTTGGTAGTAGACCCTCTCACCCTATGCTTCTCAAATCCTATACACACATAATAATGCCATTACTTCTACCACCTACTCTCCTCCCAAACATAATCTTAGTCTTAAAGCCAAATATGCAAAAAATATATAATGAAGTCACTTCTACTAGAAGTACTCCAGGAATTCCTCACCACTAGGCTCCCCACCCATAGTAGCCCCTAAGGTTCCTTCATGAAATCAGGGCTCCTCTGAAAATAGGCCTATGAAAACCAAGCCCTCATATCATCAGAAGTAAGCAGCTTCAAGGTGTCCATTGTTTGTTATAACTACTCAGAGAAGCAAATGTCTTTAAAATTATGCATTTGGAGTTTGACTCTAATGTATTAAGTTTGGCTTTATCATCCAACTTTGTAATAAATTGCCTTTCTTGATTTTCAGTTCCTCTGCCTGAAGGACTTCAAGTTGATGTGTGGACATAGGGTGGAGAAGCTTTGTCTTTCATCACTTTCTTTAAAACATGGCAGATTCAGGGGTGCCTGGGTGGCTCAGTCAGTTGGGCATCCGACCCTTGATTTCAGCTCAGGTCATGAACTCACAGTTCATGAGACTGAGCCCCATGTTGGACTCTAAGCTGACAGCGTGGAGCCTGCTTGGGATTTTCTTTCTTCCTCTCTCTCTGCCCCTCCCCTGCTTGTGCTCTCTGTCTCTCTAAACAAACAAACAAACAAACATGAAAAAAGAAAAAGAGAAAAAAAAACACATGGCAGATTCAGGGGCACCTAGATGGCTCAGTCGGTTGAGCATCCAACTTCAGCATAGGTTATGAAATCACGATTCATGGGTTGGAGCCCCACACTGGGCTCTCTAGTGTCAGCACAGAGCCTGCTTGGGATCCTCTACATCCCCCTCTCTCTGTCCCTCCCCCATGTGCATGTGAGGACTCTCTCTCCCTCAAAAATGAATAAACATTTTTTAAAAACATGGCAGATTCAGCTCCTTATTTATTTATAAGATTTTATTTTATAAAGAAAAAGATAATTTGGAGTTCAAAAAGTAAATTCAAAAACCAACGCTGTAGAGAAAATTCCTACATATAGTGAGAGATAAACTAGATAATCCTAAAGCTCCCTTGTGCATCAGCTCTAAAATTCTAAAAACTTCATATTGTGATGATTCCAAGAACAATTACAGGTAGTCTGATTGCCAATAAAATAAAAACATGAATCGTGTTCAAGAGGGCAAGTCTACCAATGTCTCTTAACTTCCAATCACCTTGTATTTAATAAAAAAGACTTTATTCCAATGGGGCATTTTTAACAGATTCAGCAGCCTTACATTTTTATTTTATTTTATTTTATTTTTGTAGAGAAAGAGCTTGAGTTAGGGAGGGACAGAGAGACAGATGGGGACAGAGGATCTGAAGCAGGCTCCACACTTATAGCAGCTGACAGCAGTAAGCCCAATGCGGGACTTGAACTCACAAACCATGAGATCATGACCTGCACCAAAGGTGATCGCTCAACCAATTGAGCCACCCAGGCACCCCAGCAGCCTTAGATTTTTTAAATTATTTTCAGGGGTGCCTGGGTGGCTCAGTCGGTTAAGTGTCCGACTTCAGCTCAGGTCATGATCTCACAGTTTGAGAGTTCGAGCCCCGCGTTGGGCTCTTTGCTGATGGCTCGGAGCCTGGATCCTGCTTCGGATTCTGTGTCTCCTTCTCTCTCTGCCCCTCCCCAACTTGTGTTCTGTCTCTCAAAAATAAATAAATGTAAAAAAAAATTGTTATTAATTATTTTCATGCTGTATCTATGCAGTGAATGGTATCCTCCCAAAATTCTAATGTCCAAGTCCTAGTCCCTAATGGGATGGTATTTGGAAGTGGGGCCTTTGAGAGGTAATTAGATTTAAATGAGGTCATGAGGGTGGAGCTCCCACAATGAAATTAGTGTCCTTAATAACAAGAGGAAGAGAAACCAAAGCTCTCTTTCTCTCTCCTTACCATTTGAAGACACAGTAAGAAGACGGCTGTCTGCAAGCCAGGAAGTGGGCCTTCCACTAGCACCCTGATCTTGGACTTTCCAGCCTTCAGAATTGTGAGAAATAAACATCTGTTGTTTAAGCTGCTCAGCCTACAGTACCTAGTTATAGTAGCCTACACTAAGATATTGGATTCACTCTATGAAACAACTCTAACATCTTAAACTATTATGCGTGCTAAGTGTTATGAGGCAGGACTGACCATGAAAGAGTCTCACTGGGACTCAGAATATAAAGAGACTTTTTTTTTAAAGTTATTTTAGCAGTCCTCAAAAATGAACAGTTAACAAACCCCCCCCCCCCACACACACACACACACACCCCATACATTAACATGTGGAATAAAATTACCTATCAGTGAAATTATCTTTCTAATAGTTAAATTCTATACATTTGCTTCATTTTTTACAGATTGTTTTTAGAAATCCAGCTGACTATCATAGAACTTTATATTTTTTCATGAAGTATCAGCAATGAAACATGCAAACAGCATTCTCTATTCAATTCTCACCAGTTTAATTTGTCTATTACCTTTATTTTTTATTTGGAAAAAAATTGAGAGGGCATAGAACAAGATCAGAGGGAAGTGAAAAGGTCCCTGGCTAGTGGGCAAGAGAGGTATATAGGAAAGCTGGCTTTCTCTCAGATATTCTAGCTCATGAATGTAAGAGAGAAACAGTAGAGACTAAAGTATCTTTGATAAATGCACAGAATGCACTTAATCCTCTTCTTTGAATTGAAGGTCAAAGAAATAACTAAATCTCATCCATTAGCATGGATACTAAAAGAGCTGGGAACTACATTCGTGCATTCTGAGGAAACAATTGAATAAAAATGTCATTAGAGATTTCTGAACCACAATGAGCTCTCTAAACCATCGGCTTTCCCCTCTCTGCAAAGCTCTAATATCTGTAAGTAGATTAGAAAGGTTCCCGTTTTATCAACAAAATGATGTCCTAAATAACAGATATTTGAAACTATAAGAATTAAAAGTTTTCAGAAAACAGAACACTTCCTAGAGTTGATTCAAGTTAACAAATAATTTATTGTGTAAATTATTTTCCACACCTCTATATGTAAGTGGTAGGCACTGCAGGAGAAATAAAGATGAATAAATTTGGTTTCTGACACCTGGGAATTTATCACCTAATGCAAGAAATGAGGCAAATACTAAAATTAAAGACCATAAAAGACGCTTACAGCCTAACTTCTCAGACTTTTATACATGAGTTAAATGGGGAACTTCTAAAAATACAGATTCTGATGATGAGGGTATGGGTGAGAGATGATATTGTATTTCCAATAACCTATGGGTAATGCTGATATAGGACTCTTGCGTTTCAAAGCTTAACAATAAAATAGGTGGAAGACATTACCCCAAATTAGAAAAGGGAAGGAAGGAGAGTCATGACAGGGGGGAGAAGATATTTAAAAGGTCTCTTGAGTAGGTAGGATTTTGAGGAAAAAGAAATAAAAGGTAAAAGGAATCAACCAAAGGAACATGTGCTTTTCTACTAATAGAGTGTTTCTCACTTAAAGTAAATCCAAATAGGAGCACCTGGGGGGGCCCAGTCGGTTAAGCGACTGACTCTTGGTTTTGGCCCAGGTCATGATCTCAGGGTTCATGAGTTCGAGTCCCACATTGGGCTCAGCACTGATGGTGTAGGGTGTAGAGCCTGGTTGATATTTTCTCTCCCTTTCTCTCTTTGCCCCTCTCCACTTGTGTTCTCTCTCTCTCTCTCAAAATAAATAAATAAACTTTAAAAAAATAAAATAAAATAAATTGTAATAATGATTATAAGATCTATCATTTCTAAAGAGCCTTCTCATATTACCTGTAGAGATGTAACAGAATTCTTTTAAAGTGTGAT